ACAACGTTAAAATTTCCATACAGATATATTAAGCACAATAAAAAGGGCTTCTATGGGTATGTCCGTAGCAAAAGAAAGAAGAAGGAAATGGTAGGGCCACTGCTCAGAGAAGATGGAGAAATTCTAACAGGGGACAGAGAAAAGGCCGAACTACACAACATCTTCCTTGTCTCAGTCTTCTCACAAAAGGAAAGGGGTGTTCAACCTGAGGAAAATGGAGCAGAGGACACAATAGGGAAAATGCAGCACAGAGTAAGTAAAGAGGAGGTACAGGAATACCTGGTTAACCTAAATGAATTTAAGTCTCCAGGACCAGATGAACTACATCCAAGGATATTAAAAGAACTGGCAAATGTAATCTCGGAGCCACTGGCCATAATCTTTGAGAACTCCTGGAGAACAGGAGAAGTCCCAGAAGACTGGAGGAGGGCAAACATTGTCCCCAACTTCAAAATGGGGAAAAAGGAGGATCCCAACAACTATTGCCCAGCATTTCATAGCAGATGACACCAAATTAGGAGGAATAACCCCAAATAAAAAGATTTAATTTCACCTTCCATGAGTGAAATATAGAGCAAAAGAACATACACATACTCCACTTTGATTTATCTTGAAAAACCTGGAGTAGTTATGAAGGAGCAGCTGTGCCAAGTTCCTTCAGATGTTAATCCCAGCACCATAGTCTCCTCTCCATTCTTTTTCTTACCGCTTTTCCATGGCTTCTGGGATGACATTTCTGTTCCCCTCAACTTCTGGACACAGATGTCATGTGCTGCAACAACTGAATTTCGAGTCGGATTTCGACTTACAGGAATCTCTTTCAGGCAGTTCTCCAGGCCTTGAAGAGGTGGGATCCCAGAGGGACTTGGACCTGTTTGGGAAAAGGTGAAAATCCCTGGTCAGAGAGATATTTATTTATATTTACTTATCTCTTTCTCCATTTATATTCTTCCTTCCCCCCAAAGCTGAGACTTAACGTGGCTTACAAAAATTTGAATGGAAACTGATAACTGATAACTTGCACTGAAAGACCTAGAGATGTTATCTTGGGTAAAAAAAATGTTTTATTATTTGCTGCTTTTCCACTTTCCTGGTGATCCTGTGCCCGTAAACCAAGTGAATATAGAGGGCTCACTGTATCTGGAAGGGACCACAAGGGTAATCTAGTTCACCCCACTGCCAATGGAGGAATCCACAAAGTGAAGCACCACACTTCCAATTCTCATCTTACCTGCCTCCTTTACTGACCATTCCCCACCATCAGGCTTGTGATGTCTGTCGGAAGAACTGCCAACAGTGGAGCTGACGGCTGGCAAGAAGAACTGGCTATTCATAGTCCCTGGAAGCTCCTCCAGAAAGTGCTCCAGGCCCTGTAAGGGAGTGCTGTTATGGCTAAGACCTATGGAGACAAGGCAAAAGAAAACATGCATCAGAGCACTGAAGGAGTTCCAGAGGTTTAGCAAATTGGGTGCAAAATGAAAACACTGACTCCACAAATATGAATTCTAAACCCCCTTGTGAAATTCTCCTTCAGACCCCAAATTTCTAGCATTGAAGAGAGGGAGACACTGAAAATTGTTCAAATTTAGAACTCTTTTATTTGCTGCGTTTGCATTCTCTGGGTCATTCTGCAGGCCCCTTTCCTTTGAGTGCCTCAGCTGCGCTTCACAGAATTATAGAGTTAGGAGAGACCTCAAGGGTCATCCAGTCAAACCCCCTTCTGCCATGAAGAAAGACACAATCAAAGCACCCTCAAAAGATGGCCATCCGGCCTCTGTTTAAAAACCTCCAAAGATGGAGACTCCACCACGCTCTGAGGGAGTTTGTTCCACTGTCGGACAGCTCTAACTGTCAGAATGTTCCTCCTAATATTTAAGTGGAATCTCTTCCTGTAGCTTGCATCCATTGTTCCAAGTCCTATTCTCTGGAGCAGCAGAAAACAAGCTTGCTCCATCCTCAATATGACACCTCTTCAAATATTTAAACAGCGCTATCACTTCTTAACTTTCTCTTCTCCAGGCTAAACATACCCAGCTCCCCAAGTCTCTCCTCATAGGGCTTCATGGTTTCCAAACCTTCCACCATTTTGGTCGCCCTCCTCTGGACATGCTCCAGCTTCTCAACATCATTTTTGAATTGTAGTACCCTGAATGAATTGTGGTGCCCAGAACTGGACGCAATATTACAGTTATGACCAAAGTTATGCTCAACGGAAATCTTGAGTTACATCAATGCTAGAAATTTGAGGAGTGAAAGAGCAGTTCATTGGAGGAGCAGAATAATTGTTTGGGGGATAATGCCCTTTCTTTCTTTCTTTCTTTCTTTCTTTCTTTCTTTCTTTCTTTCTTTTTTTGCTAAGAGCCAGCATGGCATAGTGGTTTAAGTGTTGGACTAGGACTCTGGAGACCAGGGTTCAAATCCCCACTCAGCCATGGAAACCCTCTGGGTGACCTTGGCCAAATCACACTCTCTCAGCTTCACAGGATGGTAAACACAAACCCCTTTTGAACCAATTTTACCAAGAAAAGCCCCAATAAATTCGCCTCAGGGTTGCGATAAGTAAGAAATGACTTGAAGGCACTCAGCAGCAGCAATAATGTGCTTTTAAACTGATTTAACTTAGTGTTTTGAATAGAAATTTTTATTTTATTTTTTATCATTAGGTTTTAGCTATACTTTGTGCATGGAAAGGAGGAGGATGAACACACAGAAAATGCAGTCAGTCTCCACATCTGCATCTTTGACTTTTACGGATTTTATTATTCATGATTTGATTAATGTATTCTCTCCAGGAATCTCTAGGTCCTCCATTGTGACAGAAATTCACCAGAAATTGCACTGGAGGACCTAGAGATTCCTAGAGAGAATACTTGTCTAGGCATTTGTAGATCCTCCAGCACAATTCTATGGTCAGCTTCCAGTGGAAGTTGATCACACAGTTGCACTGGACGACCTAGAGATACCTAGAGAGGTGTTCTTCCAGGTTTAAAAAAAAACAAACAGTCCTTTTTATCTGCAGTTTTCCCACTTTCACGGAGGTCCCGAGTCCCTAACCAAAATGAATGTTGAGGGCCCACTGTATAAAACATAACGTGGAAAGTCAACTGCAATTCTGCTTGACACTAAGAGTGGAAGAGCAGTGACTGACTGGCATTAAGAGCGGCCAATTGGGGAAGCAGCTTGTTCCTACCTTCCTCCTTCCTGGCCCACCTCCCTTGCTCTGGCGTCCACCTGTTTCCATCCAGGGAACTGCTGAAGCAGGAACTGACCGCCGGCGAAGAGGGCTGGGTGGCGGTCGTTGTCTGAGGCAGGTCTTTCAAACAATGCTCCAAGCCTTGCAATGGTGTGCTGTTGCGGCTAATTCCTATGGGAAAGCATCATTTATTTTATTT